TCGACGCAGTGGGGGACTTGAGAGGGAAATTGAAATGAATATATACTTAGGATAAGAGGACCTATAAGAAAAAACACTTATATTTTAGGGCGACTCCAGAAAAATAGATGAGTTTTATATCCTCCACCCACCCCTCCCTCCTATAAATAATAAMMAGTCCCTAAAACGGTGCAGTGATGGATCTCGTCAAACCGTGAAATGGTTCTTGAGGTCACCAAGATATCCACTAGTATTTCATTGTTTTAGTTGAAGTAACATAGTTGTAACAAATCCCACAAAAACTCCATCAAAAGAATTCCGAATACCAATGACTGAATATCTTATGAATAACCATTATTATTTATAGATAATATTAAACCAATATTGCTAACAATACTCACCACATTAGATGCCCAATARGGTGAAAGAAATGCCGTAAAATAGCAAGATTTGACATACAATGCCACAACTACAGATTCTGTCGCCATCTTGGATTGTCCCGCCAAATGGTCATTAGATGGTTGGTCATCCTGTGCTTTCAAATAGCGAGGTAGACTRGGACAACAACAAAGATGGCGATCCTCACTCATTCACAAACCTCAAGGGCGCCTTCCTCACAAAGTATTTTGGTATTTAATAGTAGGACACTTGTGTTATTTGTGTATTTCATCAGTATTATTCCTAAACATACGGCTGAATCACACAAGATTTTTAAAACCTGCGAAAACACTATGTCGTTACTTGCTKTGGACTGGAGATCGCGCGAAAAGTCTGGRAGGATATGTCCAACGAAGGCCATTGATTTTAAACAATGGGAATTTGAGGAAAATAATCTACTTCTGCATTCTTTTCCTATCGATCTAGAAACTAGAAATTTTTGTAGAGAAGTTAGAAGGGCAGTTTTTTCCTACGTGGAACCAGTATCGTTGAAAACAAAGCCGAGTTTAGTAGCTGTTTCGTCAGAMGTTCTGGAAACTCTTTTAGATATTGACAGGGGATCRGTGGAAAAGTCAGAGAAATTCCTGGAATTTGTATCTGGTAATGGTTTGGTAAAGAATTCATTTCCTCTTGCTCATCGGTATGGTGGTCATCAGGTACCAGGACATAGCATGCTGTTACTTGACAAATCATAAAATATTTAACATGAGTCCCAGTCATTCATCCATTCATTTTTTCCCTTTGACCCATTGATCCATATATTTTTCTGCAAAAGCTTTTTACAGGAATAATAATTTGCAGTTTCTTTGTGCGCAGTTTGGTGATTGGTCAGGGCAGCTAGGAGATGGTAGAGCTGTTCTTCTCGGAGACTATGTAAATAGGTAAACTCACTTATAAGAGTTTCTTCATTGTTTGTTAATGGTTGAATTTTGTTGTTATCTTGTTGCTGTTTCAGAAATGGTGAAAGATGGGAACTTCAGCTGAARGGATCAGGAAAGACACCATATTCAAGGTAGAGCTCTTTCTAAAGACTGGCAGTACCYTTGCTGGGGAATGCTGTTTGTAGCTTGGTTTTCTCATACACATTAAGCAGTCATCAAATATAATTACTTTTAGTATAATACATACTAATGGTCTATCACTCATACTGCGCTGTGATTGGCTACTCTACTAATGGTCTAATTTGTGATAGAGTGCTCGCACTTAAAGCGTGAAACAAATAGTACTAATTACTATCTAAATAGTGTTGATTATACAATAGAAAACAAAGGAATTTGTATAATTTATCACCTATTTTGTAGTAATTATATTTCACGCATTTAGTGCGAGCACTCTAGACCACTCACGGGAAAATCAAAATAAATAAATTATAAATTATAAATCATTTTAAGGATATTTCAATTTTTTTTCATTATTTGACCGATTAGTATGTTTATACTAAAACAATTAGACCTCTCGGCCTCGTGGCCTACGAGCTAATAGCCCATTCGGCCTCGCGGACTTGGCCTCATGGGCTATTAGCTCGTAGTCCACTCRACCTCGAGGTCTAATTGTTAAGTAACACAGACTTCAGCCCAGATGACATTCACATTTATTATTTTTTTGTTTTATGAAAGAGCAAGAGCAGCGATAGCYTGAATATAAGCCACCTCCTCTGGGTCATGTCACTTGTAATTCCCCAAATGAGACATGATCAATAGTGCAACTAATATTCAGGCTAGAGCAGTGAGTTTGTGTAAGATGTAGGAATATTTGTTAAGCTAATTTGTTTACCTGTATGTAGGCATGGCGATGGGAGAGCTGTCTTAAGGTCATCTGTGAGAGAGTTTCTTGCTAGTGAAGCCATGCATCATCTTGGAATACCAACCAGTAGAGCTGCAAGGTTTGTGAAATTCTTACTTATGTCAATTGTGTTCTTGAAGTTATTGTTTGTCTAGTGGTATAACATTAGATGTAATAATAACATGCAAACATTTTAGTATTATTGTAAGCAAAGATCCTGTTTGGAGAGATATGTTTTATGATGGCCGTCCAAAGCAAGAAAAAGGTTTGTTTAAAAACAATGACTTAAACATATAAATATTTATCATTGGATGATTTCACAAACTGTCTCAGTTTGGTAAATTTGATTTGGTTTCCACCAGCTGCTGTTGTGCTTCGGGCTGCGAAGTCATGGTTTAGGATTGGTTCTTTAGAAATTCTCGCTGACCAGGGTGAAACTGACTTGCTTAAAGAGCTTGTTGATTTTATAATTGAACATCATTTTGAAGACATTAAAAATGACAGCAACAAATACCTTGTGAGTACTTTATGRTCATGTCTGGTTCAATAACTCATATAATAAATCTATTATAAATTAACAATAAATCCAAAATCCTTCCATAAGTCTTTTATTCAATCAACCATCAAGCGTCCTCTCACCTTATAAAGCAGAAACAGTTGTGTAAAACTTAGGATATCTTTAACACCATAAAAAAGTAGCTGAAACAGCTTACTGACATTTCTGTAAATCCTTCATTGGAGTAATGAATCATAAACTTAATCAGTTAGTAAATGAATCATCAAACAACCAATTTTTTTGCCAATCTGAATTTGTTATATCCATTATTTTTATATCCAATATTTGTTATATCCATTATTTTTCTA